CTTATGGGTGAGCCTTTTTAGGGTACAATCCTATCTTGCCTAACTGTCCTTCAGTCATCTAGATTTAAACCTCCTCATAGGCATGGTATCCATAGTCTTTGCATTAATTTTGTCTCTTTTTGCTGTAGAAACAAATGTCCATGAGTGGAACCTACTTGGGGCCTGGTCATTAGTTTGGGTTTTTTTCTCTTTTATTCTTTGTATTAGAGTATACCCAAAAAGTTTAGTGTCATTAACTTGTGTGTGGAGCAAGGTACACTATCTTTTGACTGAGGTTAGTTTAGTAGYAGTGTCTACCCTGTGAATTTATAGTGTCTCACTACCTTGCAGAAAAGGAGGAAGCAAACAATATTAATAACCAAAGCAAAAAATGTATAATGTTAAAAAAAAAGAAAAKAAAACAATGCCCACTAGGACATCTTCAACACTAATTACCACAAAAACAGAAATGGTGAGGTCAGTAATTGTCAAAAACAAAAACAATCCTTAACTGTKAACTAGATCTGACTTAAAGTGAACAGCAGGTGTCAACTATGTCATCCATAGCAATAATAGTTGAAATAATATGAATGGTAAGGGCAGGAGTTATATAARCCAAATTGTTCTAAAAATGGTAAAAATATAGTTCATGGAAAAAAGCAAACATGACAGGAAGATAGAAATGRATTTTGAGTGGTCAAAATGTAAACAGACAATGCAGAAGACACATTGCAAGGAGGAGAAAAAAATAGGGAAAACAACATAAAGGAAGAGAAAGAGAATAAGAGAAGTTGGGTTTTAGTTGGAGAAGAAAGAAGAGAAAGAGGAACAAAAAAAATAAAAACAAAAGCAGAAACACCTCTAACCCTCAAAAGACAAGGCAAGAAAAAGCAACTATATTTTTTAAAATGCTAAAATGAGTGAAAAAAAGAAATAAATATGCATGTATCGTTTATATATAGATAGATATAGATATATATCTCCACAAATCAATCCACACAGCAAGACACACACACACACACACACACACACACACACACACACACGGAAAAAAAGATTCTTAATGAGAAATAAAAAATTCTCCTCCAGAGAGGTGGTCAAAACAGTCAACATAATGGACAGTCATTGCCTATGCCCATCAGTCCTTCTTTCCATTTTTTCTGGGACTATGTACAGAGAGACAGAGAGAAAGATCTGAGGGTTGTTAATCTTTTCCTCTTTTTGTGTTGCTCTTTTTGAGATGCCAGTGGAGTGGTTTAAGACTGAAGCTGGTTAAGAGGGATCTTAGCTTCCCTTCTCACCCGTTTAAGGTAGAATGTAACGGGAAGTCCTATAGATTGGTGTTTTTTCCAGACAGACYAGGTCARTGCACTCCCRRGGTGGGGCTGCTACAGAGTTCTATGAGAGTTCCCCAGTAGGGCTTAATCTAAACTGGCTCAGGGGCTTTGTTGAGTGATGTCTGCTCTGGAGAGATTAGATCAAAATACCCCTAGGACTCAGATTCCCATCTCAGCTGAGAGCCTGGWTCTCAGGAGCCTTGCAAGAATTCTCCTCCTGGGACAGGGGAGACAATCCTCTACACACTCTGCTACCCATGAACACAACTTTCCCAGGTTTAGTACCTGAGTTTATTCACACCCGCTTGTTCAGATTTCCAAACCACTTAAGCTGATGACATGAGCGGTCTGACTCAAATGSAAAGCAAGTTGTACTCCCCTTCATTTTTCTGAATTGAATCCCCCTGGGTACAATCTTATTTGTACCTGTTTGACTCTTGTTCCACTAGGTACCCCTAGGCCATGTTGGGTGCTTGCTGGGACAGGATGGCAACRTTTGCTATGATCTCACAGGCTCACACAGCAGCAAGCTACAGCACAGCCTCTTCAAGACATCTCCTACCTCAGCGCTCCATTTGCCAGTTGAGAAATACAGAGCCCTTTTCAAATACCAGTTTGCTTCGCAGCTGCTGGATCACCTAAATTCAGGCTCATTTTCTAATCTATAGGTTTTTCTGGTCCAAATATTTCTGATGTATTTCTCTCTGACCCTCCCCTCTGCGGTGAACCAGTGCTGCACTGCTGCCACTAACGCTGTCACAACTGCTAAACTCCAACGTTCTTTCTTGTTCTTTGATCAATGTACCTGAATTTTTTGAGTCTCTAAGATACTCTGGCTGTCCAGTATTCAATTTTAGTGAAATACCTCTTTCACCTACCTTGTTGAGAAGTAGTAATCTCCATCCATGAATCCTGAATCACAGAGCAACTGGAAATGCAGCCTTCCTCTACTGCGCYACCTTGAATCTCAGATGGTGGCCTTTCAAAGGGTGTTTCCTCTAGAATAACCAATCACTGCTCAGCTTGAATTTACCCTGCAGACTTAGGTCTAGGTAGCAGTTATTCCCCCTTCTGTGTCTCATGAAAAGTGTAGATGCTTCCTGTTCATTTGGATGTGTTTTTCTAGGTAAATTGCACTWTAAAATGTGTATTAACAGGTCAGGAATAGTGCACCTTGGACAACCTACAATAATCTTATTTTATGCCATCACTTTTGTCATATTTGAAGTCATGGTAATTGCCTAGCCTATCTGTTCTAGTAAGTACAGCTTGATTTTCAGCATCCGGAATCATTTCCCTTGCTTATAATGATTTCTTAAACTCATCCATCCCATCCTGGGGACCCAGGAACATTCACTCAAACCAAAACTGAAATTAAAATATGTGACCTCTCTTCAAATCTATTCTGTGCTTTAATTAACTGTTTAAATCAGTTAATGATGTTTCTTATACTCTCAGGCTAAATTATCTCTAGATAGCTCTACTATTTTTTT